TCGCCATACCACATCAGCACAGAGATATAATTGTCAATTCAAATCCAATAGTAGAAGAGTTAGTACGGGTATTAGAAGTAATCAGAGAGGTTGTGATTAGAAGATATTATTCAAGAAGTATGATTCAGTGAGAAAAGTTTAGAAAGTCAAAACTAGAGGGGTTGAAGAATCCAGAAGATTAGAATTTGAGAGAACGCAAAGAATAAATGCACCGGCGCCTTTGCGAACGATTTTGAGCCATGTCATTCAAGGTCTCTAACCATCGATTATTATCATCTCGCGGACCCCAACCAGGTAGTCGACAATTACCGACATGGCTAAGTCCACTCGTCAATGACTTCATGGATAGCTGAGGTTTGGTAAAATAAGACTAAGATTCACTGATTTTAATCATTTAATATTGAACAAATGAGTAAATTTTAAATTTCACTTTATCGATTTTATATCAATAGAATACTGATTAGGATTATGCACATAATTACTATTCATTTATCTTCTGTTTACAGTCAATCAATCAGTTGTATAGAAAAGAATACGATTTTATTAAACACAAAATATCATGGAATTTATCTACAATACTAGTAAGAAAATACTAATGTACAAGATAGCTCTGTAACTAACCACCAGTACCACCTATACAGAAACAGGTAGTTAGTATGAATGATAGTTTAGTGGTTAAAGCGCTTGAACTTCAACTAACAAGTCATAAGTTCAAGTTGTGATTCATCGATCGGTTTGAAGATTCATGTAGTATCGTCGGCACTAATAGGATATTGCTCAAAGTCAATTACATAAAAAAACTGGATCTAATGAATAAGCTACACGAAACTATTTAGACCGACAGATACAATACAGAACTTCGTACGTACGTATACCGGTTCTAGTTGACATAACCCATCAGTACACAGACGCAACTGTCAGTTCAAATACAATAGTGGTAGCGACAGTACAAGTATTAGCAGTAATGGAGAAGATTAGGGCCATGTTATTCAAGGTCTCTAACCATCGTTGACTTTCGTCTCGCGGACCCCGACTAGGTAGCCCACATCTACCAACATAACTCAGTCCACTAGTCAGTGACTTCACGGATTTCTAGCATGTTTTGGTCTGGCCGCCCCCAACTCTCTTCCAACCTACTCCTACACTGCAAAATATATCTCGTCGAGGCAGTCGCTGGTTAGGCACAGATAATATATGTCCCAACCATCTCAACTGATGAAGTTTCAATACTTCATCTATTGATTTGCCTTCCCTACCTAGTACTCGTTCCCTAACGACAGCATTGCTCACTCAGTTGTCCCAGAATATACGAGCAATGCTTCGAATACAAGCAACCTACGAATGTCCTCTACTCTCAACGGCCATGTTTCGCATCCGCATAGTAGGACAGAGCGAACTGCTGCGCAGTACCCTCGTCCTTTGGTTAACAATCGGATATCTCACCTGCGCCATAAGTGACGCAACTTGGCAAAATCCAATCGAGTCTTCTGTATCCGTGCTGAGATTTCGTCAGTCACCAGGCCATCAGCACTGATGAGACTCCCGAGATAAGTGAAGCGGTCTACACGTTCGACTACTTCACTCCCTATCACTAGTTCAGGTGCCGATACAAGCCAATCTTGAAGCAACATTTTGCATTACGAGGTGGGAAACCGCATCCCGAACATGCTTGGATTGTTGCAAAACTATTTATTGCTTGGTAAGACACAAAGAATGACTAGTTGAATATATACTAACGAAATAATTAAAGTATACATAACGAACTACAAAGATTACAGTGAAATTGATACTCTAAACTGTACTACTCATAATTGCTTAATATCACGCTTAAATCGACCAAGCGATGTTTGGAAGTGATTTGATGGAGGATTAGGCAGGTTAGATAATAATATACAAACAAAGTATGGTATAGTCAATTAATGTTACGTGATAATTTCGGGCGATTTTTGTATCTCGTATTCTTGAGTTTCCGTTAAAGAGGCACTGCCAAGTCCAAGACTTCTGATGTGAACAGCTAACCTCACTAAACTGAAGAATTCTTACATTTTTTTATGCACTGGAAGAAAGATATTTATGAGGCATCAAGTCGGACAATCAGAGTTTGACCTACTTACTTCGTTAGTTGTAAACTCAAGACAAACTATTGATTTTGAAATCAGACACACCACGTTAGCACAGAGATGTAATTATCAATTCAAATCCCATAGTGGTAGGACTAGTAGAAGCATTAGCGGCAATCGTATACAAACTATCTAAATATTTGATTACTATTGTTCAGTTGAACCTCTTAAGCTCAACAGCTTAACATTGATAATTTTTGTCTATACTGAGAATAAAATAACAGCCCCAACCCTAGTATCATGTTACTACTAATCATACAAGTTAATTAATGAGAGTTGGTTTATTAAGTGCATAATTCAAACTTTGCAATAAGAACTATCATCACTATGTTACAACGTCAAAGTAAGTAAGTAAGTGTAAACAAACAAAAAAATTAGCACCAACATATTTGCAATAATTACCTTAAAGAATCAAACAAAACAGAAAATAAATATTTTCTCATCATAAAACTAACTAACTCTCATTGAGATGAATGAAGTATAATCTTCCATGGTGTGTAGTAAGTGGACAGAAAATTGTGTTTTTTTTTGTATTTTTACATAGTTATGAGTGAGTGTAAAGTATTTCTCACAAATGTAATATTACCTTATTTATCATACAAACATTTTTTTAGCTGGAATTTTTTTTGTTTTATTATTATTATTTAAGGACACAAATATATATATATATATATAAGTGAATTTTTATGATGCTATGATATTTCTTTGAATAAAAGTTTAATATGAAATGTAAGTAAATAATTAAGTCAATGCACAAACATTGAAGTGTAGCAATATATAAATTAAACACTACAAACAATGATAGATAGATAGATAGAAAGAGTTGGGTAAAAACGAATGTTTATCAAGATGCATAAAGATTTAATGTAAGTAAGTAAACATGAAAAAATAAACTAAGTGAAAAAAAAAAACAACAAACTGTTAACACACGTACAATAAAGTTCAAAGTTTTATATGTATATGTAAAGGAAACAAACACATTTTTTATTAAAAACACAATCAAACGCATACCTATTGGAGCATATATATATATTACATACACAGTACAAAATGATTATGAACTTAATGTGCATGGTCAATTCATCAGGCATTCATCATCACGCATTAATATATTATCATCAATGGCACCAATTGCAGAAACTCAGCGGAAAATTTGATGTAGTCTCTCTCTCTCTCTCTCTCACTGATGATTCAATCTTTTTCTGTACAGACAAACACAGACGTTCAAAGCTAAATTGGAAAGAGTATATAGACAAAACGAACAAAGTTAAATTATCTCTTTTCTTTTTTATTACACAGAAGCTAATAATTATACTTTGTTTTATTTTGTAACACAATTATTGATTAACATATTTATTTATGCGATGGATTTCACTTTTATTCCTTAATCAACAATAATGCTTAGTCATCTATCCTCTTTATGACCTTTTCCTATTCATTATGATCAGGTTTATTGTACAAAAATTTGCTCTACAGATGAGCATCAAATTTTAACTTTAAAAAAATTGAATGAAATTTAAATTGTACAATCTCTTTGTCTTTTTATCTAATAAAGGAACTGGATTTGTATTATTTTGGACAACAAACTAATAAGATACTGTGAAACGATAGTGTTGTACACCAACTCATAAACTTTAATGCAGTTATCGTTTATTTATTTTATTTTACTAAGACGGAAAAAGTTAGTGACAATTGGTTGACGAAGTACTAAGGGTTATTATATAGTATGATATTAGTTAGTTTTCGCAACCGGAGATTACTTACGAAACCAATACTTTTAAGTTTCTCTGACGCTATAAGTACAACTTATTGATAGGTGGTAGAACAAACAGAAGTTATTTCCAGACCACCCTAATCGACTGTCGTTAAACATTCAAACCACATGAATAACGGGAAATAAATAAGAAGTTTGAGAGAAAATACACATTTATTAGATAGAAATTTCAAATACAAAACAATGAGTGTATGAATTGATTAAACTATTTATAAATCTTTATGAATAATAAGCGAGAAATAAGTATCTGGAGAGTTAATACACTGATGTCTGCCAATAAGAATGGTACAGTAACAACGTTACATGAGAATTCCGTATTCACCTGCAATATTTTTGCCAAAGTGTAACTGTAAATACCAGTGCATTAGTAGCATCCATCACACTAGATTTTCATCATATATGATCCTTCCTATTAGTAGGTACCTAGTTTGGTAAAGTATCTGGAAACTGATTTGAGATCATTTTGTTACCAGGGTGAAGATGACATCACTTTAAAATGCTATCACAAAATTGACTGTATAGCTAGAACAATGTTTACATTTGAAGGAATTATGCTTATATACACAATTTAAGTGTATTTGTGAAAAAAAATATAATTGATTGATTTTAAAAAAAAACAGTACACAGTGTGTTGTTATTACACCTGCTAAAGGCAAGAATATGTATTGATGCAGACAAACCAAACGATCTTAGTATAATAAAGTGACGATGGTAAACGCTTTTCCATCTCTTTCATCCACAACATCCAGTAAATAATCACCGATTATACAATTATTTCTGATGTGAGATATATTCTGTAGAATTTAACTGCTTTAAGTTCGAATCATTACTGAGATATAAAGTAAAACAAAGTCAAAGCACGTTTGGTTTCTCATTTTTGATATTTCTATCACATGATCACAAAAAAATACGCGAAGGCTTTGACTAGTTTGTGTATTTCACGAACAAGAGCAATTGCAAATGGGATATTTACAGGTTTTGCAAGAGTACTTGATATCTAGATAGCTAAAAGCATAGTGTAGTTATGACGAGTTAATCGCTCAGTGATTAATGGAGAGTTAAGTAACGTTGTTATCACAAAGATGATTTTAAACACAGGCTTTCCAGCTGGTTAGTATCACTGGCCTACCTACAATATGCGGTTCAAAGTTGAGAACACGAATCGATATTGGACAATTAAATTCCACTGAATGTAAACAAACGAATAGTAGTCTTTTTTTTTGTTGAAACCTTACACTAAACTGGAATCTAGGACTTGTAAATTATAAACTACATATCTCCCATTTATATGTAAGTATTCTATACCACAAAGTGCACTTTATTATCATAAAGTTATAAATAACGACTGGTCAAAGTAAAAACACATGCCACCAATAGGATCGATACCAGTTACGTAAGATGTACAGCCGATTTTTTTGGATGATGACCATTATTTCTTTTATCAGAAGAAACGACCGGATATTCGCACATAAAAGTTGTCAAAGACCTAATAATAACTTCTCATTTTAATACAAACCGTTCATGTTAAAAACAAATCAGTCATATATTTTGTCAACAAATATATTCACAATTACACCAACCAGTAAAGGAGTGTTGTCATGAAGCGTTCCATTCAACAGATGGTCATGATACTATAAACTTAGTAGAAATCTTGTAATAATGAATGCTAACTTGGTGAATTATTAACTTGGAGGATTTTTCACTTTATTTTTTGTATAATCGGGAGTGATTAATTAAGTGTAACATAAGATTTGATCATATTAGTGATTTTAGTCACTACTTGGTCAACCTACATTAGCTTACAGCTTGAAATTTAATTAACTAATTCCTGATATTTAAGTATACCAAGATTTTTGAACGTTTCTATTGAGTTAAAGGTTACGTTTCATTAATTTATACAGAAATATAAATACATATTTCTAACTAAACATCTACCAGCCCTGGAAAATCCTGGTACGACCAAAAGTGAGGAGGATTCGCTCTCTCGAAATGATTTCATATAACCACATGTACAGGAGCCATTGTCATGGAAGTTCTACATATTGTTTTTTCATGGTGGGGGTGCTGTTCATGAAACTGAGAGGATGAAAAGCGAATGTCCAGTGCTTAGACCCGGTTGACGGGTACGGAGCATCTAGCCAGGGGAGTTGTCAAACCCTGATCCCAAACCAATAATACACACAGAATCCAGGATCTTGAAGGAGTGAATGGCGTATGAACCTATTGTTTGTCACCAGCTATCATGGCACTGCAGCTCCTAACACTGCTTCATTGTCTTATGAATCAAACTTTTTGATCTAAGACTCAGAGAGTAAGCCCCCTAGCGAGACCGACTGCTTCGGTTTTGGCACCCCGGCAGGGTCGAAGACCACACACAAATCAGTAAATTTGTGTGGCACTTAAATACTTAGGCGCATTCTTGCGCCAATAACTATGTTTAAATATCTAAAAACCTGAGGAGCTCATTCTAATCAAGAGATGCAATGTGATGCGCATTATAATCAGTAAATAAAAATTAATTCAATAAGTACGCAGAAACATACCAGTCCTACATATTAATTCTGTTCGCGTATGAGTTGTATTGCCGCTGATACGAAGAAAAATTGTTTCCGTATGGTGAATGAGACGCCATATTATAACCCTGCATGGAATTATACATACCAGGACTGAAATCACGTGAACCATGACCATTCATAACTGGGTTGTATGGCCAGGCTAAAAAGCAAAAGGGGATCAAGTTACTGTGCAAACAAGTTACCCCAAGGGTTGTGTGGATTTCCAAAATGTGAACCAGAATACATTGGACCATTCCGGTTTTGTTGAGGGGGTAATTTGGGGACTGCAGATCCAATAGACACACAAACTCCTTCTATAACTTGATCTTTGCCCAGTAATTCCGCTGCAACTTCAGGATCTTCGAATGATACGAAGGCAAATGAACGAAACGGCTTGGGAATGAATACATCGAGTACCTATCAGTATATAAACAATGAACATACGACTTACTGTACCAAATTGTGAAAAGTAATCTCTTAAAGTAGATGCTGTAATAGACTCAGTAATCCCACCTACATGCACCTTTCGGCTTACTTCTTGACGATCACCTTCCAACTACGGAATGTGTAAAATTTTAATTCTTACCTTGGAGATGGGTATTCTGACGTCACATAAGCGTCCGTCTATATTATGTCGCTCAGACAGACACATAATTTGTGATTCCATATCGCTAAACCGAATAAAACCATACCCTCTGCTTAAATTGGAATCAGGATGTCGTTTGATCTGAGCAACATGACAAACACAATAAAAAAAATACCTGAACCGTTACGAGGTCACCATAACGTGAGAAATAATCCTTTAATGTGGATTCATTAGTTTTCCAGGCTAGGTTCAAGACAATGAGGTCTGTACATTTCTTCTCTTCCAGCTTTTTAAATTTAGAGTTGTAAGTATCCTTATCTTCCATACCTTTTCGTTTATTATCTATAAACAATTACATAAAATCACACTAAAACAAAATTACCTCTAGGGAATGCACACTGGTAGACGTGCACCCATCCATCTGGTGGAGCAAATAGCTTTCCCTCATTTAGTCTTACACCCCTTAGGCATCCAGACTCAGGGGCCAAATATTTGAGTCCAGTTGATTTCGGAAACACGGACTTTAGTGTGGCAAGAAGTACTGTGCCATCATCTTCAATTGGAACTTCAGTAGGACTCTCATCATCGTCTTCGAAAACTTTGATAAACTTTATTCCTGCCATCAGATACGGTCGCACACAGTTTCTGTTTAGATTAGGGTGAAGTGTGAGAATCTGGAGGGAAGAACATAAGAAGAAAATGAGCTATTAACTAAGTTAACATATAATTAGCATTTAGGACTAATAATGTGAGTAATCAAGAAAAATTATCTATACTTGGACTTGGACTGAACGCTGATTCGCAGATGTAGCCGATGATTAAGAGCAGTAATCTCTCAATCGCGATCCAACGTAAAATGTTGAGGGGCGCTGTCTACGTCCAAGGTCCAATATTCAAAGCAACCCTATTATTCTGTCCTAATATCCAATATCTTATTCATGAGCTAGTATAAAACAACTGATTTCTTTGAGGTCGATTCTTGTCCTTTCAGTACGTTTCCAGGTACTTGGTAGAGTTCAATTGATAATGGTCTAACTACTCGACTGAAATGATTCTGGTCAGTTGGCAGTTGTTTGTGAGATAGCTTGTCCCGTGATTTGAACGAATACGTCTATTTGAGGGCATTGGGGTTTATGGATACCAGCAGCTATCACGTTACCAAGCTGGAGATCAGTTAGTTGTAGTGTGGAGAATAATAAGGCGAAAATTCCATTGCTAATAAGAAGAGGATTTGAGAACTAGTTAATAAATATATAATTTAGTTCATTAGTTGGTAGGGAAGATTGTGCGAGAGGACCAGCGTGAGTGCAAGGGAGAGGAGACAGAGATAATAAGAGAGAGATTAAATTAGCTATCTGAGGAAAGGGCACTAATAAGTAGCCAGTCTCAAGGCATGAATCAGGAACAGCTGGTCCACGAGGTAGATCATAATCCGTATGTCAGTAAGTGTTTATCAAGTCTCTTGTTAAAGCCGTCCACTGAGAAAGCTGGGACAGCATTCCAGTTTGCGATGACTCTAAACAAGCACTGTGCAGGAACATGAGCGTTCGTTCATTGATATGCAATTTTTCGAGGATTACCTTAAGGGGCTTGGTGATGATGCTTCGGTAAGATGCCCAAGTTGTAATGGTTTGGAGTGCTTAATATGTTGTACGCCATTATCAAGGTTCCTCTGATTCTCCTGTAACTCAGAGAGAATAATCTCAAGTGCTTGAGTCGATCTCCGTAAGTTTTATTCTTTAAACCTATCAACCATTTCTTAGCTCGTCCCCTCAGTCGATCCAAGAGATTTATGTCTCTTAATGAGGAGGGGTGCTACGACATGGTGAACATGAAGGTGGAGGGCGCGTATGTCTTAAACAACGGTAAGAATAATTCTGGAGTGACTGGACCAAGTTTTCTGCATAAAATGAAGAGTTGCATCAGCCTTGGCTGCGTCCCCTATGTAGTTAGAACAGTTGTCGAGACTTTCAGCGGTTATTCAACCGAGATCGCGCTCGGGATGGATATTAGGTAGCGAACTTTCCCTGAGGTTGCCAACAACCACCAGTAGTGTCTTCGATCTCCAATTATAAGGATAGGTCAGTTGACCTCTATTATTCCTTACGAGTTCATAGTATTTTGAAGATCGAATGTATTAATGAAGCTGCCGATATTACGTGTTATGGAAGGGAACACCGGCAGTTCAATACTCCATGAGAGAAACAGAACTGCAGACATGAAAGATTTTATTTTGGTTCTTCGACTTGCCTTTAATGTCCTCTCAGACCATCCTAGATGGGAGCGAGAGATAAGATATATATGTGAGATCTACAATATAAAATTATTAATGATAATTTATTCTCAAATAACATGTTACAAGAGGTATGCCAATTTACAGTCAAGATCAAAATGTTAAGATTGCTAACATACTTTTTGTAAAACGTATTTCGGTTATTGAAATATTTCACAAGATACATCGGTTTCATATAGATGGCTAAAATTTTTCACATAAAATTATGGACAATTTTCCAGATGATGCAGTGTACAATGAGGATAATTGGCGCGAGTAACAACGGTTGCGTTACGACGGACTGCGAAACAGTGCAAGGTAGAGTCAGTTCTGCATGTAACAAGAATTGATGAGGTGATTGTGCTAAGATCGTGTAGATATTTTTCAGACAATAAATTTACAGGCTCCTGAGTAAAGTAACCAAGTCTTCAGCAAAATCCAGACTAACATTCAAGGATTGGAATTTGGAGCTGAAAAAGAGAAATACAGAGAAAGGGGCGAGGAGCAGAATTGAAAATATTCCGGACTAAAGCCGAACCACGACTCAGCAGATACTTTTTAAAATTAGAACACTAACTGTACACCTGCAATTATGTAGATTATTGAAGACAATTCACTAGCAAGACAACGGATGGGCAATTAATAGTATGTATAGAGGAAATTCAAAAGAACCAAATTGTTATCAATAATGTTGGTGTACAGAATATAATAATAAGACACAGTAGTCTGATGCTTTAGTGATATTTTATGTATCCTTTTTCTTTTTAACTCTGTAGCTCAGAAAGCCATGAGTGAGCTCTTTTTCAGCATGATTGTCCAGGTCTGCTTGTAATAGGATTTCTTGGTGGGAAGTTAAAACCAGTGGAAGGTTACGAACATGAGTCGTAAACGAGTTTAACAAGGAAAAGTAACATCAATATCACTGATTTGTTATATCCTGCTACATCGTAAGGAGCCGTCAGCAGACAATATGTTCTGCACCACAGACTATATTAAACAATTCTTCATCTAAATAATCAAATGACTTGAAAATAGAACATTATGCTTTGAGGCATTTGGCAACGACAGGTTTACAAATACCCATAGTTCTAAGGTTATTGCTTAGTTTATAACTTTAGGCAGCATCATCTCACATACTATGTAGTTGCATGGCTCGTGGCAACTATTGACAGGCATAACCGCACTTTTACTGGGACTTTCTTCCAATGGCCACTGTTAAATCCACTAAGTCAGAGAATTTAGGTCTTCCTGTTGGACTACTTTATCCGAATTATATTGTGTGTGTCTTCAAATATCATCGGCAGAGCCCACAATAGTCGGTAACTCGTTAAGATGAGGCAAAAGAAAGGGGTCGGGGATAGCATTCTGAGGAAACCCACATTTTATCGACTATCATATTGGTAAGTACCCCATCACACCCGCTGTCTTCTATCACTGAGGAAGTTGCTAATGCAGTTTGTGATCGCACACTGGATTCTAAAACTTTTCGGTTCTAGTTTAAGACGTTGGTGAGAGACCTTTCTAGAGATTTTGCTTGGATCTATGAATACCACATCTACTGGAATAAAGCTAGCTTTCACTGACATCCTATCTTCGCTTGCAGTTGGTAAATTAGTGAAGCAGTAAAGGCATTCCCTGTCCACTGGATAAGAAATTTTTCCTTTCCACGTAATTTATAATATCCACTCGAACAACCTTCTCCATTAGTTAGACGATGACGCTGATAAGACTAACAGGTCGATAGCTAATAATTGGGTTTCTACTGCCCGCATCGTAAACTGGATTGTTAGCGGCATCGTTCCTATCTCTTGGCAGTTTAAGATGACTGAGTTGCATACAAAATCAGTAGTACCAAAGGTTCGGCAATTGCATTCACGATCACAGAATGACCATCGTCAGAGCCACTGAACTTGTCTGGTTCGAGCTGCTGGAATAATCGCAAGACAGTTTTTTCAGTAACCAGAATATATAAGGACAAATCTCCATATTGTTTAGCCTTCCACCATCGTGGATAGAAGACGGTGCTGAAGTATCGTCATATGGCTTTACTTTTTGAATCACTATTCCTTCCCAATGTAAAAGGATCTTCTTCTACTAGATGTGGTAGGATTCCATCACGTCACTGAGTTTGCCTCTTTATAAACGACAACAACCTTTCTAACTATTTCCGTAATCTTCAACAGATTATTTCTAAAAAGGAAGTCTAACCTTAAGAGCAAGCTCTTCAAATGCATTCCTAGTCTTAAAATAAGTGGATTTGTACTGTTCAGGGCCTGTAGTGATGAACATAGTTCAATATTTCCTCCTTTATCTAGGAAACTTCCAGACTTCTTTAGTCATCTATTGCTTTCAGTGATTTCGTCTGCATGGTACTTAGTACGGCATAATCTGAGTCATAACTGTGCTAAATGCATCTCAAAATATAAACCGCGTATCTTCAGTTGGCAGGCTAGTATTTATGAACTAGTCCATTGTCGCGGCAGACCCATGTTTGGCTGTTATGTTTGCTCTCCACACATTTTGAGTGATGTACGACCTGACCATACTCTATGTTACAGTCCCTAAATATGAATAACTAAATAGCATGGGCTAACGTTGGGAAGATATCCAGACATACCGTCGTCTTATTTACATGAGTAATAACTAAGTCTAACAAAAAAGACCCCTGATTGGAACCGAACTGTACGGGTTAGAATACTTACTGTACTCAAGCATGTTCCACTAGGGTCATCATCAAATATATCCAGCGTATCTATCCTATATCTATCCTATAAATATCAGCTTCATTACGTTTCCTACTATCAGACACCTGTTGCTCCAGAATGAAATAGTCAATTAGGCGTCTGAAGCTAAGAAAGATAACATCGAGTATAATGTACGACATGCAAAACTGAATCCAAAGTAAGTGACTTCGCAAGTTTAACTATCACAAGATTCACAAACAAATAAATGGATATTTATATGAATAATTATGCTTCTAATGATACCACTCCAATTTCTTCATTTATTCCTATCACTTCTTTTATAGTTGTGACACTAAAGTCATGGGCTAGCTAAGTTTTGGTAACAGCTATGACAGATGTCTTTATAACGGCACAGACTACGAAGTTGTGAACCGGCGGAATGCATCAGTTACCATTAGGACACTTTAGTCAAAGTGCGTATCTACTTTTTTACCTTATAATATTCTTTCTCAAACATCAAAAAGCATTCCAGTTTACAAGTAAGATCTAATTGAGATGGTGGAGAAAATTTGTAACTCAGGTGGATGATTGTAGTGGTGTTTCGTTTTCTGAGCTGAATGGTTTGGTTGTGGAGCCTTTGTTGTCCTTATGAACATTATAGCGAATT